CTCCTTGGATAAAAGGAGGACACTTTAGTCAATATTGTACTTCAAACACATGAAGGACTTCTCACTGTGAACCCCCCCGGGCTGCGTGCTCAGCTGCAGACAACCTGAATGAATGAGAAGGAAGGAAGGGATTCAAAACAAATGGACAAACAGCTCCTTTCTCAGCTGCTCCACGATTCCTCCCACCTCCTCCTTCAGGAACATTCGGGTTTTCTGTTTCTTCTCTGGTTTTGCTGAAGGGAGCAGGGAGCCCATTAGAGCAGGGGGATTAAGAGAGTTGAAGTGGGATTGAGTAATAAAACTGCTGGTAAATAACGGCAATTATGCAAGGCAGATGGCTCCAGCCAGAGCTCAGCATTTCAAAAGCACGGGGCAGGGAGCAGAACTGCACTCTGCTGTATAGAGAGCACCTCATTTGTGTCCAATTAAACAACACCAACCTGTGATCATTAGAGAAAGCTGCCCTGAGAGGGGTAGGACAGCGGGGAGATGGGATGGAGGGCACCAAGTGGTGACTGTAACTGATGCTTCACCCAGGCTGGAAGGCAGAGCAGAGCACTGCATGCACCCCACGCTACTGCCTACTTGCATTAATACGAGTGCTTGCAGAAGAAGCTTTAATTTTGCTACCACGTGGGAAAAGCAGGGCAAAATCCGGTTATTAAACTGAAAAGGTTGATAATTAATTGCAGATGCATCATGTCCACACGGTGGTGGTTTTTTATATACTGGTAAGACAAAGAAGAGAGTTACTTTCCTGCTCACAGCTGCTTTCTCTGTCAGATGCAATTCAGAACGCAGCAGCCCAAGGGTTAAACATTTACTAGTTTTTAATTAGAGGTAGCTGGCTGAGCTCCTCTGCTAAGATCAATGCAGCAAAAAACAATATAGGCTTTGCATAAGACTAGAAGGAAAGATTATGGTGGGAGAAGTAAAAAAAAAAAAAGTGAAAAGAGGGGAGAGACCATTCTAGCACTAAGAGCTGAACCAATCCCAGGCCAAGGGAGGTGTATGTACATATCTATAATGATTCTATATCACAGAATATATTCTATATCTGTCTATGATTCTATGATATATTTATGGACATGTTATAATATAACATAATATAATATAATGGACACGTACACAAAGCAAGTCAAAGAGTACTTTTCAATTAGTCCAGTGGTATCAGCCAGCTCCCAGTTGTTCCCTGCTTTACCAAGGAAGTCAAGGACAAATTCAATATATACTCATCTACTCATCTATTAAAAAATGTCTTAAATATATGCAGAGGATATTTATTCTCCCTGTGGTAATAGCAAGAGTAAAGTCCCTTTTACTTCAATTGACTTGCTTTAATTCTCAGCTCCTGCTACGATGCACTGAAATTGGCAGGCAAACCCCAGCACGTCTTTAACAGAAATCCCAAAGATTCTGCAAGAAAAACAGGGAATCAGTGTGGACAATGGGGGGGTTTTACTGCTTTCAAATGAAACACCATACGTGTCCAGGCTGGGGCACAGCGAGGGACAAGGAATGGTCTGTCCTTCCAGCTGCCATCATAGCATAGGATGGAGCGACGTCGTGCTCAACTTCGCTTTCCATCCAAGCTTTTGTCAATCTATTGCACAACTGGATTAAGTTTCCATTAAATAGGATGAAAAACCCGAAAGAAAATATTTACTGGAAGATTATACAGCATATATTAACTCACGCTCGACTCGAGCTGTTGGAAAGAGATGAAACCAGATAGTTTGCCTAAACATTCAAAAGCACAGCTTAACTCCTGTGTCTGGAAGAAGCACAGAACATTTCCTTGCCTACTGGTTCAACGCAAACATCCACAGCCAGGAAAAGAATCCTAAAGATGTCATTTTTTTTTGCCCCAAGTATAAAATTTTATTAGGCTTAATTAGAAGACATTCTTCTTGGACAAATATAAACTTTGCCCATTTTAATAAGTAAGAAAAATAAGGCCAGCAAACACAACACGCTCTTGAATTAAACATCCCATGTGAAGCTGCGGATGAGGATAAAAACAGGTTTTCCCCCAGTCCCATCTGGTTTATCCCACCACTGACCAACTCTTGATGAGGTCCCCTGACCTATTCAGATGTTGAGTTGCATCCCACCCACCTCAGCTCTCAGCTTTGCACAGCTCCTTCCATGCTTCCATCAGCTCCTGCCTCCACCTGCTGCAGTTACTCACAGCTTTGCAGGGTATGAAACAACCCCTACATACATCAAACCACATTTAGCAGAGAAATTAAGCACGTCAGCTCGTAGCAGCACATTACAAGAGCAATCTCAGCTTACCCCAAACAGCAGGGTAACTAAATGACTTTCTTATTCCTGGCTTCAGTCAAGGAAATGAGGTTTGACTGTTGAGTACTCATCTAAATCAGCAGAGCTTACAGAAGCGCTTTGGGATCATCACGGGTGAAAGGGCCATTCTTATTCCTGATGATGGAAAACAGTTTTTGCTGAATTATAGCTGTGGCTCCAGATTTTCAGTGCCTAGATAGGAATTCTGAAGGAATTACCAATACAAGTTGGTGCAAATTACTCTGCAGTAATTTGTGTGGGTGTGGTTTTTTTTTCTTCATTAGATATCAGCTTCCTCACTGTGTTTTCTAACCTGAAACTCCAGAGCAATTCTGTGAAGCAGACAGATATCAAAGCCACGGCTACCAGAGCGTAGCAAACACGTGCCAGGTCCTCCATGATGGAGACAAGCACTAGAACAACATCTTGGCCAGCATTCCTTGCTTTGCAGGCAAACTGTCAATACTGAAATGTCTAAAACTGTGCCTAACGAAGGCATTCCAGTTTATTTGGGTCACAGAAGGGTGCTCGTTTTTATAGTTTTGTTTTGCAAGGCAAAATATGTAAAACTAATAAGGAATAAAAGAAAGGAAAACAAAACCAGAAACGAAACAAGCCAACAATGTATGATTCTTGGTCATAGGTTCTCACCCCCGGCCTCTTGGACTAAAGCAGCATCAGGAGAAAAAAAAAATGATTTTAAACCACTAGAAGCTGCAAATCAGTAAAGGAGACAAAATGAGAACTCATTCCTAGCAGACCAACCACAATGGCCAAACAGTTCTGGTGGGCAGAACTACCTCTGTGTGACCGACCTGGATGGAGAGCCAAGCCAAACCCCCAGTACTGCTGCAAGAGCATCTTAAATACAGGTAGGATTTCTTACTGCTGCTACGTTACTGTTATGATGATCTCTGTATGAACACACTTGCACAGGACCTTACAGATTCTTCATAGTTACAAGCTTGTCCTGAAATGCTCTTCTCTGGAATGTCTGGTTTGCACATGACATAGCCTGTGATGTCTAGAAAACATATAAAACATTCTTGAAAAGAAGTCATTTCCTCCGTGGACAAAGACATAAATCCTGCAACTACATAAAATCTAAGGGAGCAGGGACAGCAATTACTCACAGGAATACCTGACTCAGTGCTGAAGTCTCTTTGAGCCATAAACACAACGTGACACAGCTGAGACTAAACAACATTCACAGCCCAGGAAAAACCCAGGTCTTGAGGAACACTCAGTCAGAACATCTGAATGCACAGAAGGACCTTAACATGGTCCTCTGCTTACCTACATGTTTCAAATGATTTATACACTCTCCACACTGGTGCAGGTTTCTCCTGAAATCTAGCCAATGCTACACAGTCACTCTGAGCTGAAGACTTGAGCATGCAGCACTCTAATGGCTAAAGGAAACCTCTCTTGAACTCAGTTTTTTCCTCATACGCTTCATCTTCTACTTGAGCTGAAAAATGCAGAGAAAAAAAAAACTTCATCATATCATAAGGACAGGTATTGGTACAGTTAAAATCTGCGTGTGTGTTCCTCGTGAAAAAAGGAGATGCTCAGGGCTCAAAAGGAAAGCTGGGCAAGAGAAGGACTCTCTGATGAAGACGGGAAAGGCTCTTTGCAGCAAGAGTGTGGTATGTGGCAGCATGCAGGTGTGCCATCCCTATGCGTACTCAGTGTCATTTCCAAGAGATAAATTATTATTAAACACTCAAATGCACAGCCTTGCTTTATTTTTAGGCTCCTGTTTGGGTGCCAAGCTCTTTAAAAATCACCCAGTCTGAGAAGCACTATTAAAAGAAGAAACTGAAGAGCAGCCAAATTCTTAGCCTGTTGCAAACATTGTATTCTGCAGGCTGTGGTTCAGTTTGCATTGTATTTGTGCGTCAACAAATGCCCTGAAGGAAAGCAAGAATTTACATAAAGTGCAGTGCTTACCAAGGACAACATTCCCAGGAACTGGGTGTGCACAGCCTCCTCTCTTTCTTCCCAGAAAAAACCTTTATCTTGAATTGAGCCACGTGGAATAGCTATGCCCCCACTCATTCACATATTCAATGCGCTATGAGCCATACACTGGCAACAACCATAGATCAACACAGCTGAAAAAAATACAAGCCAACCCCTCCCCCAGTGAATTCCATACTTTTCTAAGCAGGTTACAGCAGACACGCATCCTTTCCACTCAAGCTTAGCAAATATGAAAAGCTACTTTTGCTGAAATTGATATCCAGCTTCCCACAAGTCTTGGCAGGGAGAGGATTTCACCTTGCTGCTGCAGGCTGGATACCAAGACGGGTATCAGAAGTTCTGTAACTCAGCTTTTTAAGGATGAATTCCAATCAGAGGTATTGCCCCGAACGGAGACAGGAGGTACTAAAAAGGAAACAGCTCAGAAGAATTATTCACATTTGTAAAAATGATTTCATAGTATCACTGCGCAAAATAGGATTTGCAGACTCAAAAGCTTAACTATTCCATTTTCCTTGTACTGGAAATTCAGATAATAACGTTATCTAAGACTGATATCTTCCTTACAGACTTAATCTCACTTCTCAGTGAGACAGCAGAGCTCACTTGATAGCATCTGTCTTTGGATGCTCCAGAACTACACTGCTGTGGCACAGCCTGGTCAAACTGTACTCATTCCTACAGCAGAGAGCAACTTAGAGCTGCACTATTCATAAATACACATTTATTTTTCATTAGAAATGCATAATTACAGCATTTAAAAGCATTTTCCCCTAGAAAAGTAGTTAAGCAACAGTACAAACAAAATTGTTAGTCTTCTGCAAATAAACATTTTTCATTACACTGAACAGAAAACACCAGCAAAAGGCTAATACTCGCAGTTATGGGGTTTTTCTTTTTCTTTTTCCTTTGTTTTTTTTTTTTAATATTTTCCATTTTTGTTATAAACACCATTGCAAATAAAAAAGCTGTCTGAACGGTGAAAAATATTTGAGCTCTTGATCTTCTTGATACGTGGTAAAGCAAGTATTGCGAAGCAGCAATACACCTCCCAAGACATTTTGCAGACATTCAAATGGTGTATTTCACAGAAGAAACGACAGGATGAAACATGAATTGAAGTCTCACTGTTTCCATTAGTTGGGTTTCTTTCCAAACTGACTTTTTCCTCCTTAAATATACCTACAGGCAGGTCACGTGTTTGCTTTATTTTTCTGAGGGGTAAATTCTCAACAGACGCAGCGATGCAGCTCCGATTGCAGCAAATTTGGCTCTGGTTTGTTCTGGGTGAGCACAAACGGATGGTCAGAAACCTGCTGTGTGCACAGGAGCCACTGTCAGCCTATGAGTCCATCTTCCTGGGGCTGCACGACGACTGCAGGGCTCCATTTCCCACCGTGGCTCGCTGACATCTCAGCTCACGCAGCTTTTCACCGCTTTCTTATTGGATTTGGATTGCTCCGTGTTCTATCTGCATCTCTGGTTGGATTGCTGACTGGAGGGTGTCAGTGCCCTGCAGAAAGAAAAGGGAGATCAGGAAATCAATACGAAAAACGTTTGTCGCTGATGCAACCAAAGGAGCAAATCACATTAATACAGAGTTCTTCTCTACACCAGTGCAATATCTGCACGAATATCAACTCCACGGTGGAGCTGAAATGTGTGCTTACAAAGGCACTAAAAAATGGCCAGAAGAACAGAATGGCTTCCATACAAAACCTAAGCAGAAGACTAATGCCCTTCGGGATGGAAAAGAGAAGGCTGAAAGAACAAACCCGTAACGAGGGTCTGTAACATCATGAGTGGCACAAAGAGAGCAAATAGGGAAGAAAAGAAACCTATTTAAAGGTCTCTTCCCAGAAAGGAACCAGCCGTAAGGAGAACCAGAACTAAAGCTGTCCGTGCCCAAGAGGATGTGGGCTGGAGCTGAATGGTGCTACGGAAGAAAAATCCATCAATGGCAACTGCAGGAAGGCCAATAAGTCCCAGGGTGACAAAACTACCGTAGTATAATTATGTTTGCTCTGTGCTCCTAATTTTCTCTGCTGGTTCAGGACACAAGCAGGCTGCTGGCCTAACCCCTGCAGTCATTCTCTGCTCTGTGCCAAATGAGAATACTGCTACCAATGTTTTTTGCCTCTAAACTCTTCCAAAAGGCCTCAGGTTTTCCCCACTTTCCAAACCTAAGCAGTCCTCCGTGAAGGGAGTTAACGTAAAAGCAATTAAAGGAGGTCTGATCAAAGATGGAGTTGCCCCACATCAGTAACTACTGGGGTAATACTGCAGTACTGCAGGGTAATCCTGCAGCAAATCACCCTTTGGACCAAGTCAGCCAGTGAACAGAAAACCAGATCACGGAGCATGTTAAAGCTATAAAATGAGAAGCATTTCAGAACAGCTGTACTGGCTTGGACAAAGTCCCTCACACCCAATAATCCTTCCCCTGATAGCAGCCAATATCACAAGCACAGATAAACTCTGAGAAAAGGGCAAGTGCTTAATGGTATTTTCCTGCACACTCCCACAGATTCCGGAGATCTGCCCTGGATGGATTTTCCCTCCATAAATTCATCTAATCGATGCTTTATGTAACATCCTGGATACAGAAGTGTTTCCGTGGAATTCTGCTTTTATGACAATGTCTTCCCTGCTCTCAGCCTGGGTCTGAGGCTCGATGAACCACAAAGAGGCAGAGGTGGAAATTCAACCTGCGTTCCTCTCCCTTAGGCTTTGCCATACAGCCACAGATTATTTATTCAAGTGAAAATACGGGAGGTTCAAAATCATAAAGCACTGCTTCTATGCGACAACTTGGCTGTGAAATTTTCTCTCCATCTCTCTGATTTATGGCCAGTAATTGCACACCACTACAAGATCTGTACCCAGAGGTAATTCGGCACTTATTTACACATTCAATAAATTGGTGTCAATAGATCACTGTCAATAGATGAGTGTCAGAGCAGTGAATAATCCTAACATACTGCCACATCTGCTAGCAGGAAAGTCTTCAAGTGATCCAAGTTTTCTCTCCCAGTAGATGAAATCTTAATGGAATTAAAATAGCGACCAAATAACAGGCATAATGGTAATGCTGAATATTTCTCCAATATTCAGACTAATGTAGATTGCCCAAAGGGGACAAGAAGCACAACTTAGGTTTGAAATTGCCTGCAGAAGAATGTTAGCACATTAATAGCTCGTATTCATATCTGTTCTATAAGGGAACTAAGAGCCTTTTGGAATGCTTGCCACTCTTAATTCTGTCCACAGCCAACTTGCAGATGCAAAACCATGCACTGCACTGAGAGCACTGAATGGAAGTGTGCAGTTCTGTGTGCTTCAGCTGGAGTCAGAGAAGGGACTCGCTGCAAACAGCTCCCTGAGATTCAAAGTCGTTGAGAACATCTCAGTACCTTGGCAAAGCAGCCCACGAATCCAATCGTTGCTCCAGTTTTGGTGAGAGATACCTCTATGACCTCTCCCTTCTGATGAAGGCCTTTCTAAGCCTGTAGGACTGTTCCACAACATTAGCCAAAAAAGCTACAGCTATCCCCATAACTCCAAGCAACGCAAATTCCAAGTTGGTTTCTCTAATTCATTATCAGATCCTTGGTTTTCAGTTTGTGTAAACCGAGGAAATATTTATGGCAAACTTATTTTTAGCCTGTTTTTCCTTTCATACTTTTCTTATTTCACATTCCTTTTCTGTTTCTCTTCAGCTCTGTATAAATCTGTGGTTAACCACAATACTAAAATCTAACACGGTGCAAAGTGTCCCTGAAAAGAAAAGTAGCTCCTCTGGTGGCTGCCAGTCGTGTGGGAGACGGATGCTGATGTTTATAACCACAGCCTCCTGCCATGGGAGGTGGGAGCCAAGGGGGGAGCACAGCCTCCAGGAACAGACCCAGCCCGTGGGTGCTGGATTTGAGGTCTCCAAGGCATGGAGTGAGGACAGCAGCACGGCAGGAGAGAAACACCTCTTGCTATCTGATGCCTATATGCCCGTTAGTTGCATGGGACCAGCAGTAATCTTGGTACAGCTTCAAGAAATAAGGCACGACCCATCAGCAATGCTCTCATTGGCCAGCACTATTACAAGTGACTGTGAATTGATGACTGAGGAGGCCTGAAAGCACAGAGACAAACCTAGGGAAGGAACATGACTTCCTCTATTTCTTATGCAGCTCAAGAGACCCAACATCCAAATGTTTGCAGCCAGATCAGAACTCTCTGCAAAACTGCGTATCTATCAGACAAAATTCCCTTCTAAGATTGGCTGCTGTGGATAGCATTATATTGTGGCTGGTAAGGCAATACACCTCCTACAAGCACTAGGCATTCTCTAGAAAAGGAGCCACTACAGTTGGGTTCATGGAACAACGTGTAATCACCTTCAAAAAAATCTGACAACTGCCTTTTTGTCTTCCATAACTGCCAGCAGGAGTGGCTTTGAGTTGGTGCTAGCCTCAGCTACGTGACTGCTCAAACAGATCCAGAAAAGACATAAAACACACCTCCTCCACCTTAACTGAGACCATCAAGCGTTCACTTACAATTGCATACACTGCAGCTCCCGTGGGAAATCCAGGCTGCGGATCAAAAGAACTGGAAAACTTCTGTCAGAAAGAGAATAACCTTTTTAAGAGAAACCTCAGTCTGAAAAACACTTTTTGGATAGTTTCCAAGCCAGTTTTTCTCCATGTCCTGTAAATATGGCTCTCAGCCCTCAAGGATGCAGAAAAACAATGGTGACCAAAATAACTGTTCTCTGGGGGCACCGAGCAACAACGCCGAAGAAGGAATCGTCAGTCACCAGTTTTACCTTTAAGAAAATTATGTTTCTTATTATAGATGGCCCTATTTTTTTTTTCTAAGCAGTTTGGAAATAGGATCATATCCTCAAATGAGTGCTTGTGCCCATCCACACCTGAAGAAGATGACACTTCTGCTAAATTTTGTATTTTTGGTTTGGAAACAGGGCCGTGAACTCACTCAGCTCATCTGGCAGATGTTTCAAACAAGTTAAGTGCATTGAGAAGGTAAATATATATATATGGCAGATATATATATATCGACACATAAACGCAGGCATACTTGACTGGTTGCAGAGTGGTCTGTCACTGGTGTGAGCTGCACATACTGGACTTGGATATCGCTGCCTTGCAGTGGGGATCCATCAACTCCTCCTGATGCAGGCTCTGCAGATGCAACAGCTATCAGCTGAGCGCCCTGCAACACCTGCAAGCAGAGCAAAGGAGAAACAGCTTGTGAACAGGCACAGCCAGAAATGCATTAGGAAACAACGACCTGAAAACAGATGCAAAGCCAAAATTAAACAGAAATTTAAGAGAACTTGTCTATCAGTAACAGCTTAAACAATATGGGTCTCCAAGAGGACGTGGTACACACATGGAAGATTCTCACACAAGGTTCTCACTGCATTTTGCCTTATGAGACCTGGATTCCTGCAGCTGTTCCCTGGAAGGACTAACAAGCACCATACCTGGAAACGTTTGGCCCTCTTATGATCCCTAACACAAAACAAGTCATCCCCTACCTGTATCAACACTAGCAAAGGAATATATCACCCTGGTGGCCTATGCTAAATAGATCAATTCTAATTCCAATTCATTTGCACAATAGTTAGCACACTAATTCACCAGTCCAATTACCACATCTCTATTCTCTGGGTGCATCCAATTCCCCCCAGCTCTGCTGAGCTGTACTTGCAACCCAAACAAAAGCAAGGCTTGTAGACTTAAGAAGCCACACGGAAGGAAAAACCAAAGCAGTGATTGTGCTGCATAGTTTGTAAGTATGAGAAGTGTTCTGTTTCACAGATTGCAGCTATGAAAACTCATCTGTTTATTCTGCCAGCCAGCAGATGAGCACAGCAGTGCCGTCGGCTCAGGTTCCTCATAGGATGAGCTGGTGGGAAGCTGCTTCAGAAACCTCTTCTGCTCGGTTTTATCATGGCAGAAAGAGAGAGGGGGAAAACAAAAGGCAGACATTGAGTTCACTTCTAGCATTCTTGCACCTTCAGGTTGAAGATAAGAGGGTAGAAGGCAGGTTTGCTGGGGAAAAAAAAAGGACTTGTTCTGTTTTGCTTGTTTGCTATTGTCTCTTTGCATGGAAATATTGTGCTCCTGTGGCTGGGAAGCATTTCAAAAGATGTTTTCTTGGCAAACTGCTTCCAATGAGAGATAGTGGCTTTCCTAAGGAGTGGGCTGTTGCCGCCCTCATGATAAACGACACCTCCCTAAGCACTGCAAAAGATAATTGATGAAGGATTCATAATTCTGCTAATGATTATTGCAAAGGGTAAGTGGGACAGACCGAGCAGTCTGCACTGCAGTAATGCCAATAGCACACAGCCATCTCCCAACTAATGTGTTCACTGTTATATAAATAGAGAGACAGAGCCAAGATACTTATTCTCACAGCCAAACACATTCAACTTTCGACAATTTGTTACAGTAATGTTTATCTTCCCATTGTACATGAAGGTGTAGATTTACAAATTACTGCTAATTAATGCTCGCAGCCACTGACTCTACACATCTGCATGCTGACTGCTTGAGGCTGAGTCCCCCGATAGCCAAAGAGCAACAGAAGAGCAGATGCTTCACCCAAAATTGCTTGCTTAAATGCATCCCTGCAATGAGAGCAGTTGTAATTTACTACTTGAAACACAAATCAGAATAAAATATACATATGTGAACAACAGCAAGTCCCCCGATCTCATTTTAAAAGGCAGCCAAAATATACAAGTTCCGTTTTGGTTTCTATACGCTGTGAGTGCCGTTTTGTTTTTAACCACCTCTGGTATTTGAACCACAGCGCTCAAAAGATGCCTTTCAAACGAAGGAAAGAGAACCGAGAGCAAAAATAACATTCTGAACAAAAGCCTCCCTTACCCAAGTATGATTTCTCAGCTGATGGGAGGGTGGGTGGCCGTGAAGGAGTGGGCAGCACAGCCCCTCCTTGGGGAGTGTGGGAGGCCAAGAGGTGACCCCTAGGAAGGACCTTTGGGGTGTTGGCAGGGTTTTATGGGGATCTTGGATGTTCTGAGATACCTTCTGCACCAAGCTGCAAAAGGATGCTGTGTTCTGTTTTTACAGGAGTAAGCAAAAGCCTCTTGTGCTGCACTATTTACTTTGGAACGACATGATACGCCTCATCAGAACTACACGGCAGTCCGTCCTATTGATTGTCTGCAGCTCTAAAATGTATTTGGTCTCAGTAAGTTCTGAAACAAACCTCAGGACGACTGCAAGCAACCAAACCAGCCCCTTTCTTGCCCGCTTTAACAACAAAGAAGCCTACAGCTGCTAACAGCACCAGCTTCACTATCTTAGGATGCGCTCCCAACTGCACCCCTTGCAAAGGGAATCTCATCACAGAAGCATAGAATGGCCTGGGTTGAAAAGGACCACAGTGATCCACCACTGGTTGGATTTGATGACCTTTAAGGTCTTTTCCAACCTGAGCAGTTCTAAGCCACCCTTTCTAGCTCTCTCCAGCAGCACCACTGATCAACACATGGTTCAGAAAACACCAACGATGCCAATGGAGTGGGAAGTTTGCTTATGGTCCTGGGGGCTCTACGATACTTTCTTTCATAGTATTCAACGTGCCACAGAAAAGGAGGCACCCCAATTTCCTTTCACACAGGCTAGGAAGGTCCAAGATGAAGAAATTCTCTCCAAATCCCACGCTGACATGCAGACAGTCAAACAAATGGGAAAAAGAACAGAGTTCATACAGCAGAATGCAAATAAAAGCCCCAGCCCTACGACTTCAATCTGCCCCATCTCACAGTTCTGTCGTGTTTGCCACAAATTCTATAGGAAACTATGTGCAAAAATTACAGACATCAAGGGATCAACAGCTTTATGTGGCACAGTGGAGGAGTGGGGGAACAGAGACCTCAGCAGTAGGTGCAGGTGTGAGGATATGGCTTTTCTTTGGCTGCTCACTTGGCTCCCAGACCAATACTTCAACTTTGTGATTCTTACCCGCCCTTGACCTTAAAATAAAGGAACTGTACCACAAAAATTAACAATCTGCCCTGAAAATGAACCTCTTTTCCCAACTCCGCTGGGCTCCTCTAACATCCTGCCTCGCTGCTCCAAAACAGGTAACAGAATATGGTTAAACTGAAAAATAATAAACTTTCCTTCTAACAGAAGGGATTAATTCGTGCTCTGGACACCCACAAACAAGCAGCTTGGAGGCAGCTTCCACTCACTCAGCACATAACCCAGCAGGACCCAACTCTGAGTTTTTGCTCCTGCTCACTTGGGTTGGTGAGGGCTCAGATCAATGCTAAGAACAGCCCTACAGAAGTCCACCCTTAAATTAACAAGCAAACCTTAAAAAGTGTATTTTTTTTTAAATAGTTCAGGGGAATATTTGGAAAAAAGGCATGTTTGGCTATCTGCTACTGCTTGATGGTAGTGTAAGGTGCTGTCTTGACAGCGATGAGATGTTCAGCTCTCAGAGCCTTTACATCACCTTTACATACCCCTCTTTGCAGATGCTTTGAAGCTACTGGTGCTCTTCAAGCACTGTTGGTGGCCTGGCCTGATCTTCCCAACCTTCACATCTCAGTGATGACAGCACTGCACGCTGACCCTGCTGCACAACCCACCTCAACCACAAAGCACCAGAGAGCCCCATCCCTCACCGTACCCAGCAGCTCTCAGAAGAAGAAAATGTTCCCTGACTCCTTCCGAAAGAACACTAAGTGCGTTTCTATTAGTTTTGATTTTCAACCATCCTAGAAACACCAGAAGGAAAAGTATTTTGCTCAGCTGTTTATAATGATGTGTGAACTCCTGGCATTGCCCGCGCACACAACCGCAGCCTCTCTGAGCAAACATTTGCTTTCCTTAGAGCTTCCAATGAGACTCAAGAGCCAATGGGTCTGATAAAACAACCTGAGGGTTGGACACATCCCTCCTGTTCTCTTGAAGCATTTTGTGCCCATAGACATCACCCACCCCTCCTTACAGCAACACGTGGGCTGGATGGGACCCGCAGAGCCTTGCAGCAGCATCCAGCTGTGCTCCCATTCACCCCGACCTTGGCCTTCCTCCCCTTGGGTGCTTTTTGCTTCCTTCCCCCTCTTGTTGTTTTTCTACCCTTCTCAAAGTCTTGATGGATGGAAACATGAAGGCTTTGAGTCGGGAGGTCCCAGATTTCTATTTTTGGTCCCGTCTTCAGTGAGTTTGCCATGAAAAATGTGGTAATAATAAAATTAGTAGTAATAATGAAAACCAGCAATCTTCTCTGCTCTCCTCCTTTCCATTTTTGCCCATAACTAATAGTTCCATTCAACATTCATCTGCCAGGGCAGGAAATAATAATAATAATGAAAAAGAAAAAAAAAAAAAAAAAAAGATTTAAATATAATAGATTTTCCTTTGGTTTCTTCCAAGATTATTCAAACACAATTTCCAACCATGGTTCAGTTCCTATCATCACATCCTCTGCTGATTTTACTTATCACAGAAAATGGTTCATCCTTTTAAAGCCTTTTAAAGTCATTCTCTATCCCCCGACCCTCCAATAAAGGTAATTGTTTCAGGATAACTGAAGTTTGCTTAGCAAAAAACCAAACCCCTCAGTCTGGTCCTTGACAGATTGAGCCTTCTGAAACACATTCTTGCTACTGTTGTTGTGTGCTTTTTTATTAATCTAGGCAAGCCCATATGTTTGCCTACCTATAAAAAGCTCAAAAACAAGACACACTGGGATTTCAATGCCTTTTCTTTCCACCGTTTCTTCCCATTCCTGCTGCAGGAATGCAATAAAAGATGACTTTTCTTTAAATAATGAGACCGAACCACTGAAAGGCTGGTTGTTCATGGATGGGTCACAGCAGAAAATGCTGTCACACTGATGCACAGCGCCTGAGCAAACGCCGCATGTTAGAAGTGAGTTTTGCAGAGGAAAATGGGAAGCTCTGTGGGATGCTGCAGCTAAAACACAGGTGAAAGGACACAAAAGTGTACAGACAGCAATGGCTTTACTGCCCTCCTGTCATCACTGATCCATCCAAAGGACGAGCACAGCTCCAAGCAGGTTGCCAAAGCTTTGGCAGCGCAGTGTTCTCAGCACAATGCATTACTTTGCATTTGGCTTAATTAAAAGGCGGGTGGAGTCAATCATATCAGAGAGCAAAAATGACCTTTTGCTTTCATTACTGAGCGTTTCATTACGCTGCCATTACA